CACAAGCAGAACAAAAGATAATTTAAGCAAACTTACATGTTATAGTTTTCTAAAACATTATTCTATTACCTTTAATAAGACAAAATATATATATATACATATATTAAGAATCACCAAAAAATTGTTGCATCACATCACTTAGTACGTAAAGTAACAAATATATGGACAAATGGGGTGCATCAGTTATCTAAAAAAGCATCACAGAATTTGTTATACTAAACTAAACCAAGGCACTGAAAGAAACCATGAACCATAAATACTTTCAAAAGAACATGCTTTTTCCATTGAGATGTGAGCAGCAGAACCAACTCAGTTTCCATTTAACTGTAGAATTAAATTATAAAAAGAGAGAGAGAGAGAGAAGAAGACAAATTAGGTATAAGAAAACATCTTTCTCTACAACAAGGAAGAGATAACTCTCAATACAACGGCAATTATAGTTTTAGCAAAGAAATGACAGGTAACACTACCTCAACTTTTGACATCTCCTCTAGCAGTACTTTTTTTATGTGCTCAGCCTCCTATTATTATAAATAAGAAAGTATGTCAATCCATTTATGACAAATTTAATAGGATGGAAACAAGTTTAAAGTTTGCAGCAATCTAGAAGAACTAGGTGCAAGGGAAAATAATGTGTCAAATTCAGTGAAGCCAGATATTAAATCAGAAATTGACTTTCATGCTACATATTTATGGAGAAAGAAATGCATTAGGCATTTTATTGGTAGCACCATAGATTGTCCACTAAATGAACAATCCTCCATAAGTAATATCATCAGTTGCAGTACAATAATAAAAACAGAGAAGAGAACAGAGAGTAAACTACCCCATATGGTTGACAATGAACATAAAATACATCCAAGCAGTAGCCATCAGTTGTTGAGAAAGCATGTGCTTCGTCAATGTTCAGCCCAACCTCAGATAGTAAACACGTCAGCTGAAATTTCAATGAAAGAACTCTAAATAGTGAAATGAGAAAAATTACCTTAAGGCCTTTTCATACATATAAAACTCACCAAATTTTATCCTCTTACAAGACATGATGCAACAACCATAAGCCGTTCAGGGATTGATAACCATAACAACAAATTGCATAATATATTCTAATAAATGAAGGCATCCTGCTGTGGGGACCATCATTTCTTATATATTCTTATACTGATGAAGAATTATAACATATGAGTGTAGACCTTACTTGGAAAGAAACAAGAGCATCCGAGACAAAATAACAAAAAGTCATACACTTTAATCACAATTCATATGGAGGACTTAAGTCCTATCTTACCAATATAATGAATGCATAAAACAATATTCATCATATCCTGCAAACTTTTCCTGGCATTGCATTAACTTGTTGAGAAACAAAATGACATCAGAAGATGATTTACAAATCTAGAACTAAGAGATGTCAAGTACCCGAGTAAAAAGTTTTTGCTGGTCAACTGTCGAAATTGTGATCTCTTGCATCAACCTACAAAATGGGGAAATATGATAATATTTTATTTTATCATTCAAAATAACTTCCAAAAATTAATAAAAGTATTTTTTGTTTCCTCACTTTAAAGTGTTTTGCTTCTATTCACAACCAGTAATAAATAAATAAGTTAAAAAAAAGAGCAAGATTAAATAAGAAATGCCCAAACGGGAAATACACAAATGATACTACAGGGGAGCAAAAAATGGTAGATAAGAGCTTGTGTGACAGCATCAGTATGAAAGTAGCAACTGATAATCAAATATCGGAGGTAGAACTAGTACAAATTAACAGAGCAAAAAGTCCATGTGGCTAATGTAAATGTACACAACACATTCACCTTATTGCATCAACTCAAAAATTTTTTTTTTCTGTACTTGACTTTCAGTAAGGAAAACCACGATACCAAAACAGTACCATAGGAAAACTCCAATTCAGTAGGAACACTATTTTTGCTTTTTATTCCTATTAGTTTCCGCTGATAAGACTTATTGTACCAATAATTTGTGCTAACCTGAACAGTAAAAACTTCTTGCAACAGAACACAGTAGACACATGATAATCTACTAGTTATATAGGAAGACATTACTTTCCCTAAGACATATACCTGGACTCTTCTCCTTTGTCTCCAGGGATGTAGTGAAAAATCTTTTGGATCGGCAAAGAAACTGTTTTATTCTACTAAGATAATCCATGCAGTCAAACATAATCTGAATGATTGACTATAATGTATAGATATGAGATCTTTAAAAATAAAAATAAAAAAACAAAACAAAAAGGAAAAACTCTTAAAAACTAGGCATTACCTACAACAAGGTAGGGTGCAATTAATTTTGAAGTCCTTATCTTGAACAAATCTGCTAGCTTCATGTACCAGCTTGAGATAAGATGATTTCTTAGCAAAGGTAGGCCCTGGATGAATACTGAAAAGAAAAAAGAATAGAGAAATACAATTTGAGTGAGAACTGAGATAAATATTTTCCAAAACCAAAATATGATGAATAAGAGAGACGAAAAAGATAATCTCATAATCATGCCTCTCTTTCATGGAATAACCAGAAGAATGAGGATCAACTTTTCCTGTGAAGTTTAAATGTGCTGATTGACCTTGAATTCCATCAGAGAGAGAATAGAACTGTGGAAGAGAATTATTTTCAGAAATTAACCTTTCAAAAAATACTATGAACAGATTAGGGAAAGAATCTTTCAAAACTGGAATAAAAAACAATACCTCCACAAGCCGGACCTCAATCACGGGGCTTGCAGTGTCAGAATTCTCAGCCTCTTTAAGTAATCTCTTGTGCATAAGAACATCTTCTGCTCTATCCACATCTAAATCAATAGCGTACCTATCACAAACAAATTATTATTAGTTAACCACTGATCCAGGAGAAAAAACCATCAAAATATGCACAATTCCAGTCTTTAAGCCAAGCAACTTTAAGAAAATGAAAAAAAAAAAAAAAATTAAGTTAATCTTATAATTTTCTTTTTCCTACACTAACAAAGAAAAAGAATCATATTAATCATATTAATAATCTACCGTTAAGCTCTAAGCTCTCGCTTCATTTAGCAAGATAATGTTTAAATTCGATTTTCTACTCATCCAAACAAATTCTTCAGAAGTAATATAATGGAAGTCAGCATCAATCAAGGTCTAGGTGTGAGTACCTAAGGGGAAGCCTCTCAAAATGAGCCCAGAGTTCATCCTCAAAGTCAGAAATTGTTGCTTCACTGACCTTCTTCAACTCTCTGAGTCGCTGGAGAACTTCGTTAAACCTCTCAAATCTCTTTAGACGCTGTTTCGGAGTCTCTACCTGTCCCAACACAGGAGTTCTGCTACCGCAGGTAACAGTATCTTCCATCAGAGAAGGTCAAGAAGTGGATGGAGAAGATCTGGATATTTGATTCAGAATCTCAAAGATGATTCTAAAAACCAACTCTGGAATTATTAATACGAATGCTGGGAGGCAGGATTCTCGCGTGTACACGGAAATTACGAAAGCAAAAGGACATAGAAATTTTGACTCAATGGTTTTTGGCTCTGCACGCATGACTTTCCCTCTTTTTGCGCTATTTCCCTCCCACGCCCATGGCTTTCTCCGTTAATTAATTAACTAATTAATTCAAGGAAAAAACCGATGTAAAACCTCTTAACTTCTTTTTTTTGGCAATTGAGCTCCTATAGTTTTTCTAGTGACATATAAGCCCTGTAACTTTTTAAAGTATTATTTATGGCCTAAAAGGTTGTTAGTATTAACTACAGCTTGGTTGGCTCATATGTTTTAAATTTTATTTTTGCATATTTTGAATTGTACTTATTAAATCACACCATATACTTGGTCAAGTCATGAAATTGTATCTAACATGATTAACTAGTGTAAGTAATAAAATTAAAATTAATACAAAATTAAGAAAATGATTTGTTGTTTAACTTATAACTCAACCATTTAAATATAATGGTCAAAAGTATCTCATTAATGAGTTTTGATCAATGAAATGCCAACCTTAACCCTTTTTATATTGGGTGAATTGTTGGTCAAGTGAGTATTCGTTGCCTCTAGCTGCATGCGACCTTTTGTTGTTCATTTTGGGTTGATTTTTGCAACTCAAGCAGTTGATAAGCATATTTGTCTCTTGTCGAAATTATTAAAGGCCCAATTACAAATAGTGAAGATGTCCAAGGGCCTGTGTAGGGTTTTCACTTCTATTATTATTTTATTTTTTTGATATTCAGGATTTTTCCCCTTTATTTAATCAATTGATTTGGATAATTGAATGTTTAATAAATTATGTGTGACCCGATCGGTTAAAAATATTAAAATTTTAAGCTGAACATTTTAAATTTAAATTTTGTAGAGAAAATTTTTTAATGAAAAGTTACATAATTTATTATTTAATATAAGAGTTTTTTATTTATTTATATTTTTATAACATTAGTTAAAAATATATATGTACCTTTTTGCCATGAAAATAATTTTATTTGAACTCTTAATAAAATAAAAGTTAATTTTTTAATATAAATTTATAATATAAATATATTTATTATATTTTTAACACAAATTTAAAAATCCACTTTTAATATATAAAAAAATAATAGTAACAATGGCGTGATGGGCACCCCCTCGGTAGAAAGTCTACGTGGATTCTAACGTTATTGCTTTCGACTTTGGTTGTTGCTTATATCACGATTGAATTTTTTTATATTATTTCTTAATTAAAAAAATTAAGATAAACAAATATTCTTATCCATGTATGATCCGTCCCTCCATCGTTCATTCCTAGAAACCATCAAATGCATCCCCACTGGGCTACTCCAAGAGTCCAAGCCAATAGTCCTCTTTCTCTTGCCTTATCTCCCACTTAATAAATTTGTTAATTTCACCCAAATGGTGTTAAGTTTATACAAATTATTACTTTTAAGCCCCTTAACATTTTATGCTTTTAAAATGTTGTTACTTTAATCTGACCAAGACCAATATTTAAAAGAAAGAAATCATGTAAGGTGGGTCAGGGATGACTTTCCCCTTCTTGGCAGGTGCCTATATATCAAAGTATATGATATCATAGCTTATACATTAATGCTCTCTTTGAGATGATGATGAAATAAGCTACCAATATTTTGCTCAAATAATATAAACCAACAATGATATAATTACAATACATATAAAATTATAAATTTATAATCTTAATATGTTATTAAATAAATAATATATATAATATAAAAAGTAAA